CCCTCACACTAAGCATGCTTGTAGCGACAGTGGAGAGGAAAAACTCCCTTTGAACAGGAAGAAACCTCCAGCAGAACCAGGCTCAGTGTGTAAATGTGATGGCTACAACTTTAACTCCTCCCTGCAGGTAACAATTCACTCCATTCATTCATCGTTTTATGGCGTTCCAGCTGGTTGTCAGGTACTTTAATGCTAATGCTAATTTCTTTATTCTGCACCACTAGATGTTCATGGAAAATTTGTAGCTATAATGTTTAAGAAACCCATCAATGTACACTAAATACATGTTAAACATACGGTGAGTTTAAACTGGAAATTCTAAATAAATAAATAAAGTTTAGAATAATTAAACTAAAGAAGAAGAAGAGGAATCCTTGTTTGCCCACTGAGTGATTTGCCCACGACCACCTTACGACGGCCAACTGAAAATCAAACTCGTTTGATTTTCTTCTGACCTTATGATTCCGGAAGAGGCCGTAAGAGTCTGATCGCCCCTCGTTACCCCCTGTACACTAGACGACGCACGACACACGATCAGGCTGAAAGTCGGTCCGATTGAAACATTCTTACACGACTGGAGAATCATCCCAAAAAGGGCAAAAAAAACATAGTGTAAGCCCGGCTTTAGGAAACATGGATGAACCAATTAGAACCTTAAACATAGTCTTTACTGACAAATGGGAGGAGCTAATACCAGAGCTAAGCATTATTATAAGGTGTAAAAGAAAGTCTCCCTTTCTGCTGCCTGTGAACGCACCACTGGACAGATTGAACACAGCATTGGTCTTTATACTTAAAAAAATGTAAATTACATTAAAAATAAATAAAAAATTAGGAAAAAAAATTATAAACCTATAGTAAATCCTGTCATCATATTCATTTTCTTCCATCTTTTCTTCTCATAAAACAATAAACTAGGGCTGGGCAATATAACCTCAAATCAATATCATGGTAAATTGGGCAGTGTTACCTTAATAACGATAAATGCTGCCGCTCCTCTATTAGAAATAAAGTTATGTGCATTAAATGCAATGGATCTATTTATAATTTATTTATTAATTAAATCACATTACATATTACTTTCAATGAAATACTAAAGTCTTGTACCCATTCATGTTTAAAGATTCAACAATGTTTCATTGAACGGGAGAAAATGTTTCCTCTCTTACAAACATCTTTGCACAAAGGTAAAGTAGCCTTTTGCACACCTTTAAACTAAACAGCGTGGCTGTGCTGTAGGAGGTGGAAGTTGGATGTTAGTTTCAGTAGTCCCGACAGTTTTTAGTCAAACTTTGCATTTTATGTTCTTTTGCTCAACATCTATGGCGTAATTTATGTGCCACCAAACTGAGCGCAAAGTGAGAACATTGTGAATGGTTTAGAGCCACACACCCTCACACAAAACCTGTCTGCCGCTCGCACAGCTCTGACAACCTGCGCTCAGCTTCACCTTTGCACACTTCTTCACTGGGCTCATCCGCCACTCTTTGGCCACGTTCACCGATTTTCTTTGTGAAATCCGATTTTTTTTTTGCATTGCCGTGCACATTTCACAAGAAAGCCTGCTCTGTGTTTACAGACGTAAACATGGATGGTAGTGCTGGAGTGCATCTAGCCATCTTTCCCAAACTTAAAAAGATGGTTTTGCAATTTTGTTTATTTATTTTCCTTTATTTTTTTATTCTCTCTATATATATACATGCTAATTAACACCTTTTATTATGGTTATATTGCCTCTTTTTTTGTTGTATTCAGGAAAATCTTACAAAATAAAACAAATAAAAAAAAAGATGGTTAAAAAAAAAGACCGCACTCCGCATTATCGTCCACCATGGTTGTTTTTCTTCCCGCTTCTTCATAGCAAGATGCAGAATAGTGACCTTTGTTGAGTATTAATGATGTTCAGGTCAGATGAATGCCACCTGGCCTTTCAGACACAGGTCGCATTTGAAAAGATCCGATCCGTATCGGATTCAGGACCACATAGCCAAGTGACCTGGGTCGGATTGGAAAAAAATCAGATCCATGTTTTTCAGACTGTCATGGTCCTATAAGGGCAGAAAAATCAGATTTGGATCACTTGGCCTTTGTTTAGAAGCGTAAACAAAAGCGTAGCCTTTGTTTACGCTTCTGACCGGGTGGGTGGAGTCACGTGATTACGAACATGCTGCAACCATATACCAGCAACCAGCGCACACAGGAAACACGGTAAAACTACCAACGGGATAATTGTTAACGATTCTCATAGTGAATGGCGGTAACAGTAAAAATCTGGTTTATCGCCCAGCCCTACAATCAATACTTAATCTATCAATTTTCTAAACCTTTTTTCTCCCATTCATGGTCACTGGGTCCAAATAGAAATGTTAAATTATTTCAGAAGCAGCTTGTAGTTTTAACGGCCTGTCAGAAACAATCAGAGATGCACAAAGTAACCCACCAAGGAGTCATTTTACAGGCTAATCAGATAATATGTCGAATGTTCCAGAGGTCTGTGTTCCCCAAGTGCTTTTCTAGTTTCAAATCAAAACATTTGCAACATTTAAACCCTGCACATATGTGTGTATTTTGTTTTTTTCTCATAAATAAATTTTCTGGCTGCATCTGTGACTCACTCTGTATGTAAGTTAAAAATTAAACATGTTAACTGTTTAACATTAAAGTCTTTTTCTTTCCTGTTTTATAACGGGTGCCTGAGGTGTGAGGACTCAGATGGATCTACTGCTTAGCAGGTTTAAATCCACAGGGAGTGGAAAATATGAAGCTATATGAACACCCACATCGTCTCAGAGCTTCTTCCTAAAGGAGCTTAATCATGTTCTCATTAATTAGTTCATATACTGGATGATTTTCCTCTTTAATCACAAAGTTGGGGATAATCTCATGTATAGAGGAATTTCTCCTCACCGCTCGCCCAAGTAGTCCCCAATGACGGTCTTGTTGAGGCCCTCGCCCTTGTAGAGGAACTGGGCGATGTCTTCTGGGGTGTTCTGAAGGAGGTCGTTCTCCAGCAGGAACTGGATTCCCTGCAGGAGAGGAAAGGAGATCCTTTTATCTCACTCCAATGTGAGTGACGGGAAATGACAGAGTTGGTCGCTGTGCGTCGCTGCGCAGGGGAGCAGCTCATTTACAAGCTGGGCACAAACTGGAGGCGTCAGGTAGAGCCAGAGCTGCCTACCTTTTTAGGATCCATGTTAAACTTCTTCCTTCCCATTGCAATCTGTTTGTTCCTCTGGGATGTTTTGCTGGAACACAAACAAAAATGTTGGAGTAAACAGTGACATAGCATTTATTAAATAAATGATAACCTGTGCAGTGCATGAACTGCATTCACTGAATCTGTTCCTATTTTTAGTGAACGGTGAACTGAATGGATCAGTTTTAAAGTAATGAACGCGAAGGATAGCAACGTCACTAAGAATAATGAGCGACACACACAGCTCACCTTCCTGTTCAATTAATAATGACACCTTTTATTACATATTACAACAAACAGCCTGACGGAGCAGACCAGCATGTCTACTGCTAGTACTAGTCTGCTCCATTCTGACTCATCTACTGGTATATCTGCTGCCCTGTTAGCAGAGCGCTTGGCAGAGTTTTATGATCTAACAAAAGAAGACTTGAACAGAAAAAAAACTCTGATATTTTTGTGCAAACTGTGCCCACCAGAACTTAAACAAGTCCGAACATCAGCCACGTCCACTTCAAATTTAAAGCAACACATTGAGTTAAAGCATCTAAGCAATCATGGGAAATATCGTATCATTTTGGATCCAGATCTTTTCAGCAGAACCTGAATGTTTCTGAGTCATTTGGCTAAATAAAGGCTTTACTGCACATCCAGTAAACCTGGACTCCATCCAGGATTTTCCCTTACTTTCCATTTATTATGATCAAACATTTAAAGCGCGAAATATTAAGGTTCTATTGTGGAGGACTGTGGCATAATTTACCAAATTAACTAAATCATTTTTATTTTTGTTTTATTTTATTTATTTATTCCGAACAGACAGTAAAAACAATCAAGAAAGAAAAAATTTGAATGAAACAAACTTAAGAATGAAAATATAAAACTAATTATTTTGCCCATGTGACATGCAAATTTTATATTTTCTGTTGGAAAAGGAGCAGGTAGAAGATACATCTTATAATGTCCTGCCCCTTTCCTGCTTGTCAATTTATCATCAATTAACTGTCAAGACATCAAAAAACCAAAAAAACACTTGTTTCCATTCCACATGATGATGTTTAGCCATGTACAATTATTTTAAGTACTATTTATGTCATCAATTACATTATAGACTATTAAACAGTCATCTTATATAGCGTATTTTGAAATGAGCTCTGTTTTAATCAGTTTTTTTATTTGGTTTGCATTTATCATTTTTTTAAACTGGTCATTCAATCCATTCCAGACATTTACTCCACAACAAAGATAAACAAAAACTCTTCCTGGTTGTTCTAAAGTGTTGTTTTTTAAAGTATCCTTCACCTCTTAGATCATAACCCCCCCTCTCTGACACCAAACATTTCCTGTATATTGTGTGGAAGTTTTTGATTTCGGACCTTAAACATGAATTGTGAAGTTCTAAATATTACCAGGTCCCAGAATTTCAGTATATTTGAGCAATTTAAGTGAACTATGAACGTGAGCTAGTTCATTTTCATCTGTGTGAAATTAACTTTGAACTCGTTCTTTTTAATCATGAACTGGCTTTGCTCCTGTAGTTATTATATTTCAGATCAAACAGATCAATATTCTAATAATATAAGCATTTAGAAGCCGGCTGCTTCTATGATTAATTATCATGATTAATTTTGCTCAGATTTTTGCTTCAGGTGAAATTTAATGGGAGGTTTTGAATTTTTACATTTTACCTCCCATTTTCTTGCTAAAACGTGTAAAATGCTGGGCTTCTGTTTTATAGCCTGACCTGGATGTGCTTTAGTCTTCATTATACTGGTTGGTCACCAGAGTTCTCCACCATTATCTAACTCTGAACACCTCCTACGCTAAGATAATACTATTTACTGACCAGGAAACTGAATATTCACTAGAATTTTATTTTGCATTTTTAAAAATGATTATGTGCAACAGAATGAAATTTGAACGCTGTAGAAATTTCCTTCCACATCATGATGTTGAGTTACTGTTTTTTTTATCCATTGCATTAAATCGCATTGAAATATATTAGATCTCATGGTTATTAAAGAACAAAATGTCAAATTATTAACATTTTACAACAGATTCACCTCAGAACTCTTGTGCAAAATTGTTCTAGATAATTTTTACTCTAGAAAACATTTTTATTTTGCTGAGAAAGATTTAATTGCTACAATTATAAACTAGAATACGGTTTCATACCAGGAATTACAAAGAATAAAGGTACTTTGTGTTCCAGTGTTTTCAGAATCATTTTACATAAAACCTATAAACACACAGAGTGGATGTTGGTGTTTACAGAAAATAAGTAAGCATACTGAATGGTGACGTTCAACCTACCTTTCCCCGACACACGTCAGCTGTTCGATCTCTGTCATGACCTCTGAGATCTCAAATTTCAACCTCTGGGAGAAAAAAACAGAAACATCCAGTCGGTGTTTTCTTCATGTCAAAAGAAGGAAGTGGGAAATAGTGACAGCACTAAATATGAACCCTCCGTACAGGACCAGCACAGGACCAAACACCAGTTTAAATGAGCAAACTGGGAGTGCAAAGAGCCACTGTTGAGCTATTTGCATTATCAACAGCATGCAAATGGAGACGCAGAGCTGCAGCAGAGACACAGAGCAACTGATTCTGACCAAAGTCAGACTATTTTACTAAATAAGCACCAAGGAGGAAACTGGAGCCAATGGTTTGGTCAGTCTGTGTGAACATGGTGACTGCAGGTTTCTGGAAGAGTTTTTATGGCCAGCCAGAGCAATGTAAATAAAAATCTTCTAAATGAATTGAAACTCACAAGGCCCAACTATTGCAGGGATATAAATAAAATAAAGAACAAGCATGAGAGATTCTCATAATGTATCCTGTTTTCAAAAAAAAGGCAAAAGCAGACTTAAAACTCTGATTGTTTTAGTTTGAACAAATATTTAATTTGTTTTTCTTATAAACAAAAGAGTCAATAAAAAGGGGCACCATCCTGAGTTTGATTGTTTAAATAGTATCATTTGATCAAGCCTTGTTTAACAGTCAACACAGTAAAATAGCATCATGTCTGGTCAATATTGGTATCAGCAATAATAAAAGCTGCATTACGGCATCCTTAAAGGAATAGTACACCCAAAACATGATTAGCCTTCATTTTCTACTCACCCCCATGCTGAACAACACTCTGGAGTACTTTTTTGATATCTCAAATGCATCTGGAGATCTGGGAGGCTTCTTGCTGTCTGCTGAAATATATAATGGAGGTCTATGGCGCCCGAGGCAGAAAGGTCCATAAAAGTCCACAAAAAACGTGTCAATATTCCTCCATACTGCTCGTCCAATGTATTCCAAGTGTCCTGAGTGGGTAGCATCCAGAATTTACTCGAAACAAAGTCATTTAGAATGTTTTTAGAGCATAAACAGTAGTGTATAGGATTTCCTAAAAGCGCGTTCACGAGTCTACGGAAACCGCCGCGGACCAAACCAGACGAAAGTGCGCATTCAGCTCGGCAAAGAACTCATGCTCTTCCTCAACACTGAAGTCCTCAGACATTTTTCTTTTGTTGTTTCTTTCTTTGCACAGGTAAACAGCACATTTCTTCTTCTACGCTTGCATTATCGGCAGAGCAGACGCTGAATGCACACTTTCGTCTGGTTTGGTCTGCCGCGGTTTCCGTAGACTCGTGAACGCGCTTTCAGGAAATCCTATACACTACTGTTTATGCTCTAAAAACATTCTAAATGACTTTGTTTCGAGTAAATTCTGGATGCTACCCACTCAGGACACTTGGAATACATTGGACGAGCAGTATGGAGGAATATTGACACGTTTTTTGTGGACTTTTATGGACCTTTCTGCCTCGGGCGCCATAGACCTCCATTATTTGAATGTCAGCAGACAGCAAGAAGCCTCCCAGATCTCCAGATGCATTTGAGATATCAAAAAAGTACTCCAGAGTGTTGTTCAGCATGGGGGTGAGTAGAAAATGAAGGCTAATCATGTTTTGGGTGTACTATTCCTTTAATGAAACAACGGACGTTATTGTTTTGTAAAAACTAACTGATTATAAAATTGTACATAATAAGAAAAGCAGAACAGCCCCTTCTACCAACATTTTTTTTATTTTGGGCCCAAACAGGTTTTGTTTATTGTCTGTTTGCTGATCGTGACGAGATTTTTCTCTCTGGATAAATAAAGGTTATATTCATACAAACACAGACAAAGTAAAATGAACAGAATAAGATAAAAACAACACCTCAGATTGTTAAAAATACTTTTCACAAGAATGCAAAGGTAAATACCCAATTTTAGAAAATGAACAAATAATTTCTCAGAATTTGATTTTTGATTCTTTCCTTAAAAGCTCAAACCTTAATAGAAATATTAGAGGAAGTTCCTCATGTTTTCCCTTTTCCCTTTCAGATCACATCTGAGCATTTTTAAATTTTCCTTTAGGAAGGAATAATCAATAGATGTGCTTTGACTGGTGATGTTTCTGACCCTCATAGGTACCCTTACTTTCTGATCAGGACTGTAAAAATGTACCTCAATATCATCGAGCAGCTCCCTCTTCCTCCGTCGGATGTTTGACAGCTCATCCCTCTCCTCCAGGGACAGATCCTCTGGGACTGAAAGACATGATGGGAAAAAATATATAAAACTTCCAGTTTTAATTGCAAACAACTCATAATTCTCTTTCCCTTCAGTACTTGCATTATCTCACAAAGCCACAAAATGAGGATAAAAATGTCGGAAACTTGTCAAGTTAGATGAGAACCAGCGACTAAATTCCTCCCTAAATCCAATCCAGTTCTGAAAAGTTGCAGAAAGAGCTGAAAATCGATTAATGAACCTCACTATGAAGAAGAATAGAGTGAAAAGCTGCAGCTGTTCGACCTCCATCAACTTAAGGAGCAGAAATCAAGAGCCTGGTTGTTCCTCTTAATTAACCGCAGAATCAGGGAAGGCGAAGAGTCTTAATTATTTTCCCATGCCCCTCCCTCCTTCTCCATTTGGCTCAGGGGGAAAGAACTATTAATAAAACTAATCCAGATTAGTTTTTCTTTCATTAAATGTGAATTTGGCAGTTCAACCCAACCCACTACCACCCGGATGCCAACACACTAAGCGTTTTATAGCTCAGAGCAAAAACAGCTAAGAGGAAGGGATGGATTTAACGTGTTCCATTTGCCTCAGTACATATAGTTCAGGTCAGTTGTCCGCTGCACTCTACAAACACTTTGGGACCGGTTCATGGAGCCATCTGCAGGTGCTAAATATTTGCAAACCGGAATTTGAATGCCATTTAAATCCCAACAACTGACACAAAGGCAGACGTTCCCCACAAGGAGCAAATCAGATTAAGCAAATGGGGTCTTTCTACGTGACGCCCTGGTTGTCAGAGCTGTGCTGTGGGCCAGAGTGCAGATAAACAGAGCAGGAAAAAGATTCTTAAGGTCTATTATTAGTAAAAGAAACTTAAAAGTGGGTGGATGGTATGAAAAAAGGCAAACAGACAAGGAAGAACCAGCTGAAACAAAGATGATCCAGTGAAAAACAAAAAGGGAATAACAAAGTAAAGACGAACACAGGAGCAGGTGATGAAGGAAACACAGGTGAACTGAATCTGCTGATTTACTGAAGGCTGTGACTGAGGCACAAATGTTTAAACAGGGGTTAACACCAGGGGGAACATATTTCATTATATAAACATAATCAATAAGGAAAGAAAAGATAAAACCCCCAAAAACCCTAAGAAATAAGCTTGAAACATAGATGAGAAAATAACTCACAAAAGGTAAACAAGCCAAACTATTATGGCAAATCTCTTAATTAACAAAATATATAACATGTTTAAGGCTGAACAAAAAAAAATATACAATAATTAATAATAATAATAATAATAGAAAACAAACATAAGTGAGAACTAACATGTAAAAGAAATCCAAGAAATCAGCAGAATCCCCAAACCCCAATGCTGTAGCACAAACATGGAGAGGCCAACTCATTCTTATGGAGATTAAATAAAGATTACAGCCAAAGAAAAACGAGTGTAAATTAATAAACAAAATAAAACAAAAAAAAAATTATCATCGGCTCAAACAAGCAGCTCACTGAGCAAAGGTAAGGTGGTTTTATAAAGAACAGAATCCAAATGTCATGACAGAGGCTTTACGCGCTAAGGTAAAAAACAAAAATAAAAAACACAACTCATGATGTGTCATGGAGAGCGACAGCAGTGTGGTGGCCGATGGGGGCCGCCGCCCCAAAGGCTCCGCTGCCTCAGATCTTCAGCCTCATCAGGAGTGGCAGAATTCAGCATCAGAAGAGGAATAATTAAACAAAAAAATCAAGTCTTTAACTATGATTTAGAAGTGCATGATTTTTATAATTAAATACTTTTTACCCTCAACATTACAATCAGTAGCAATATGCGTAATTAAAGTAATTATCAAAGACTTAAAGAAAAATCTAAACTTGATAATTTCTGGGTTTCTTGCTAAACAGAAAGGTTAAAAAACTAGAACCAAGTTTAAATTGTTTAAAATTACTCCTGATGTCAGGTAAATGCTGATTTTAGGGGAATCTAAATAAATCCAGGTCAATAAATTGATGCATATAGTTTAACAAATAACAGCGAAGGGCTTCCTCATCCTCTTCATAGTGCTGATTAGCAGCAGATACAGGATAGAGTGCAGTGGGATTTCCTCTGGCCTGTTTTAACACAGCAAAGGGCCATTTGAATGAACAATGGTGGACGATATGAAAACAAAGACGTGAATTAGCGCTGCAGACTCCGGGCTCTTCTCTGCTCTCATGTAACAACTGTTAGTGTTGGGACGGGGCTTTAAAGCCAATTAGAGCTTACAGAAAGTTTTAAGGCTGTTTCCCTCTTTGATGCTGCACTTAAGGAATTGCTTCTAAACTCTTATCCCACTGCACTTACATTAAAAGCAGAAAGAAACTTTAGTCAATTCATCCCACAGGGTTGGGCTACAGCTACAGATAATTAGGCCAACCGGATCTAACTAGGCTTAAATGTACCGTTCTAAAGTTGAACAACAATGAAGCGCTCAAAGGCTGAGGACTATCTAGAGGTCAGGGGGTCCATGGAGAGTTGTTTCCTGTATGTGTGTCTAAATGCTCTGGCTCCAGCTGCACAGCTATCACTGCCCGCACCGTAAACACGTTTTATGTCAGAAATCCAGGCCTGTTTCAGTCTAAATTTAAGCAAAATGACCTTAAGCATATTTTAACCGCCATTTGATTCGTCGATCAGATAATAAAAAAGGACAGATAGACTGAGCTGATAACACATCTTACCAGTGCCACCAATGAAAATAAATGTACTGCTAGTTATGTGCAGAAATTAAAACGTAAGATTTATTTGCCCCACAAGCCTTAACTTGTGTAATTTATTGAGTAATTTACAAAAAGTGAATGCTACATTAAGTAGAAGCTGTTAATCATAACAAACGTATTTTATATAAAAGTTGAGTCAAATAGGCATTATAGACAAATACGATCTAGATGTGTCAAAAACCTACTAACAGAGTTATTGATTTGTGCTGAATAATCAAAAAAGAATCATCAAACCAGAATGATATAATTAAGATCAGAGAAGGAGCCAGTGGGACACAAGCTAGTTAAGACTGAATCCAACTTTTTGCAGCTGAAGGAATTTAATTATCAGGACATAAAATCAGAACATAGATTATTAACAGGTAAAAAAATGATCAAATTAAACCAAAACAAATGTGTGAGTAACGAGGTATGCACCATCAGTCCTATTAGACCGTGTTTCACATCATTGTGAAGGATCTTTGCCCTGTTTGCTTTACTACTTTGGTTTGTTAAGGTTTGTCACAAAATTTGAACCAGACTTGCAGAGATTAAATATATTTATATTGTTCCAATGTCCCTTAAAGGTATAGTAGAGGATCTTTGCAAATTTTTGAAAATTTCCTCAGATTTTTGCTTTAGTTAAAAGGTCATGGGAGGTTTTGAATTTTTACATTTTCCCTCCCATTTTCTTGCTAAAACGTTTCAAATGCTGGGCTTCTGTTTTACAGCCTCACCTGGATGTGCTTTAGTCTTCATTATACTGGTTGGTCACCAGTGTTCTCCACCGTTATCTAACTCTGAACACCTCCTACCAGGTGTTCAGATATTTAATCTGAACACCAAGTTCAGATTAAATATCTGAACAGTAAAACAGAGCTTTTTACACAACTTTAACCTGTGTAAAATGCATGTACATTTTTGTACAACAAAAACGTACATGCATATTTGTTGTGCATGTACAACAAAAATGCACATGCACAACTCTGTACCCGCACCCATGAGAGCGTGCACGAGCCGTCGCCGCCTTTTCTTTTTAGGGCTTTCAGCACAAAATTGCCAAGGCAGCGCGTTTCACTCTAATGAGCTTCATATTCCGCTTATACTGGTTTGGCTACCGGATACATAGTACCAGTAGCGCTATCTCTCTCTGCGGAGTCCGATGTGGTTTTTAGACGTGCAGTGTGAACAGGTAGATCGCATCAGAGCGTCTGGCCACAAATGCATCGTGAACTATGAACTCACACTGTACGTACAGTGTGAGTTCATAGCTGTAGCTGCGTGCAACAACTGAAAAAAAACAATGCATGGATTTAGCGCTCTAAAGATGATTTTTAGACTTCCTGCTGTAATTAATATGAGTTTTTAGCTGCTGGGAATCACTGCAAAGAGTTGCATGTTAGATTATCCTAGTTCTGGTCACATGTCAATCCCCATTAAGGTCATTATTTGGTATCTATATACAGAATTTAAAACAGAAATCTAACTGCCAAACTATGAAGAACTGATTTAAAGTAAACCCAGTAAAACTCCAACCCTCCCTTAATGCTGGCAGGGCTACAAGCAGTGTGTAAGAGGGGAATTATCCAGATCCAGTGGCTTTGAACCAGCAACTTTAACCTGTGTAATGAGTAAAAGTGGATGAGCCGGTAACCCTTGTTACCCAGCTTGGCTTTGGAGCCACCGTGTCACGTGCATGGAGGCGGGAAAGACAAGGACACCTCCTCTGGATCCAGACACTAATCTGAAGCCGACTGTCCCAAATCCCTTTGAGACACGCTCTGCATTACACCGCGGGTCATTTGCACAGACACAGCGACATGTGGTGGGACCGCACATGAGCACGGAGACACCCCAGCCAGCTGGCACTAATCCCACATACACCCGCCCTCCAAGACTCTTCATAAGCCCAGTATGAGTCTGTCAGAGTGGAAGTTCACCATATATACTGCATGTACACAGATGTTCTCCACTTTAACCTACTTTGGTTTAGTAATAAAAATGGTACGCTTTCCATATCAGCAGGGACACCAATCAGGATACAGATCAGTGTATCATAGATTATATCTATGACACTTTATTTTATTTTTTATTGAAATAATTTAAAGAAGAGCGATAAAAAAAAATAGCTTTGTAGCAGTTTAACAATGAACACTGATGGGGTCAAACAATCAAAGTTTATAAAGCTCCAATTTGCAAATAATGTTTCAGATTTTTCCCCTGATTCTTAGTTAAATATAAGGAGCAGCAGCATCATTAAAACCTGAGAGAAAATCTGAAAGAGAGC